ATATCGGTTATCGGCTACATGAGTTTTAAAATATCGGCATATCGGATATCGGCCAAAATCCCAATATCCTGCATCTCTAATTGAATGTGAGGAAATACTGTTATTTCTTCACAACTCTATCCTCTCTGACCACTTTTTCAAGAAAAATGCTAGAAAACTGGGTAGAAAATGGCACCCTACATTAAGGTGGGGGGTTTGGACAAATCTATCAACCATCGATGATAGACTCAGCCACTTTATAATAAAATGTTGAATATGAAAGAGGCCTCCTCACTTAAACTTAAAACCTCATGGGAAGAAGACCTCAATATGACCATATTGGATGAGACATGGGACTTTATACTTAAGCTGGTGAATACATCTCTGTGTCTCATCCAGTTTAAAATAGTACATAGAGCCCATCTTTCTAAAAACAACCATCTCGTTTCTATCCAGAAGTCACCCCATACTGCGATGAATGTAAAACCGCCGTAGCTACATTGGCTCATATGTACTGGCCCTGCCCCGCTCTGGGTCAGTTCTGGACAGACATTTTCTGTGCGATGTTCAGGTTGGCTGAAGTGGTGGTAACACCTGGCCCTCTTCTGGCTCTTTTTGGTTTTAGTGGTGAGGGGTCGCCTTTACCAGCCTCTAAACCACAGGCACTGGCATTTTGCTCATCGTTAGCGAGGCGCACAATTCTGACCAAGTGGAAAGGTGCAGCTCCTCCTACTCACAAACTGTGGTTATATGACCTCATGTCGTGCCTGAAACTGGAACAAATTAGATGCCCTCTTCAACACTTAACTGGTAAATTTGAAGAAACATGGCGGCCCTTTATTGATTCATTTCAAAACTTGTAATAAAGCTCCAGCTAAGTTAAGTTAATTTACTTAAAATGTTTTCCATTTCTGTTAAGGGAATGAATGTAGTGTGTGGACCTACTGGGTAGTGACCTGGGTGGGTTATGTGGATTCGTTTTTAGGGATATTTTAGGCTTTTTTTTTAAATATACTATGTTATTTCTGTGTTGGACAAATACTTCTTTGAATTTACAAAAGAAAAAGAAAATTTCAATAAAAAGAAAGTGATTAAAACAAAACACCTGAACTGATCGTTTGTTATTTTCTTAGTTTTTTCTGTCTTAATGTTGGCAGTGGGCTTTAGGCTGCCCTGCAAGGCTTTAAACCTGGGTTTAACCAGAGACTAAGCCATTCTCAAGCACATATCAAGGAGCTCATTCTGAGCCTGGATCCAGATTTATTGTTGATTCTGTTCATGGTGGAGAATCCTGCTTCACAGCAGCAGGTTGAGCCAAACATCCTCTAAATGTGCAGGATGTGGTGGGAGAAAAGAATTC